TCCTGCCAACTTCTGAGCTGGGCACAGCATTAACATGAAAAATATACTCTGAGATTACAGTAAAGTGTTTATCCTATGCCCATATGTCCCCGTTTTGTGTTCCCATTTTTCACCACTTATTCTTGGATCAACAGGCCTCTGTCTTCTGCACTGAAGCTTAAAAACAGCACTGCAATCATTTAATACTGAAACTGCCCCCTCAATCCTGTGAGCAGTGCAACTCATGTTCTAAAAACCAGAATGCTTAAAATAAAAACATGATTTTCATATTAAAGATAACCACACTATGTAAGCACTTGGAGTTAGCAAACCTTTATTTAAATCAAAGAGCAGATAAAAACATTAAGGCAGACGAGCAGCAAGCGTTGAGCTGCAAAATGGAACATCAGAATTTTAACTATACAAGGTTAATAAAAAAAAAAAAAGAAAATTATAAAGCCAGAGAGAACAACATAACATGAGGAACAGCATGTGTGTATGTGTTTCATCTGTATTCAAGAGTTTTATGTGTGTGTGTGTGTGTGTGTGTGTGCGCATGCTAAGGAGTTGTGTGACAATCTGTATGTGTGTAATCATGAATGAACGACTGCTTGCAGGACACATTTTTTTACATATTTACTCAGTAAAACAATAAAGTGCTGTTATTATTGACCTTAGGTGACTGAAGGGAATAAACTATGAGTCGAACAGCTAGACTCTGGAGTACAGAGTTAGTAACAGCTAACTAAAGTGCATGTGTCACCATATGAAATGTAAACAAAAATCAGAGAGATGGGAGACATCACCTGCATTCATCTACAAGCAACTTGTACCATGCATTTCTTCAATGTGTGTCTGATTTAGGTTTAGCGATTTTGTGAAACATTTCTTGTTGTTGAGTGTTTAATATTTACAGTTGCAGTCAAATATGCAGCACAGTGCGGTAGACAGTGGCACCAATTAGCATCTTTCAAAGAGCTTACAAGAGTTTTTAGTATTTTCTATGAGAGAATTTAGGATATGGACACAGGAATAATCAACATTTCTAACATGATTCAAATAGGTGCAGCTATTTATGAAATACTGAGAATGTTAGTTATATCAAGTGGTTCCTTACTGAGCAAAACAGATCAAATCAGTAAATCAGAAAAGCAAAAATCCAAATTATTACATAGAGCTGATGCTGTGGTCGAGCTTTTTTGAGCTAAAATGCCTGGTGATTGTGGAATCAAAAAGTAAGATTTGGAGGCAATAACCAGTTAAGAGATCGCTGCCCCTAGTCATACAGCATAGGGGTGAAGAGCTAAAATAAAGACAAATGAAGCACAGATTTTATTGTCTTTGGGGGCTGCAACAAGCATCCTCCAGCAAACTGAACTTCTCATGAAATGACTTCTGTCTACAGCTGTGTTTGTGGCGCACTGAGAAGAAACCACTGATGCCAAAAGGTTCTACTTCAGTCGGTTCCTCTTTATGTTAAAGCAGTGGAAAGAAACTAGTAGAGGACATAGACCATCAACATGTCATCAACACTTCATGGCAGACTTTGCCCATTCCAGCTTCATTTCTGTTCTTTGATGACATACAAACATTTGTGCACTCTCCTGCCAACAGATGACAAGACTGATACCACTCTTAGGACTGTACGCTAAACAAAGGTTTCAGAATCAAATTAACTACACAAAATACAGTGAATTCATAAGAGTTTACTGATCTCTAGTGGAAAATTCAAATGATAAGTATATAAGGCAGTTTAATCCGTTCTGCTTTTACCAGCTGCAACATTAAAGTGATGAACACAATAAAACATCAGCAATTATAATCAAATAATAAGATATACATCAATGTAACATGTGCCATTCTTGAGTACTTCCAATATGGTACTTTAGTGGTATTTATGGCACTTTAAATTTGGTACTTTAAGTATATTTTGACAGTACTTTTGTACTTTTGCTTAAGCAACATTTAGAACTTGTACTTGTAACATAGTATTTATACACTGTGGTATTGCTACATTAGTTAAGTAAACAATCTCAGCACTTTTTCCACCACTGACACTAAATACTAAGCTCTACCCCCAGCAGCCAGCTAAATGGGCTTCACTCAAAAAACAAAATATCTAGCCTGGCTCTATCTGAAGGTAGCAAAGACTTCAATTTTTGTCTAAATCAGACAAGATGCAGTATATCCTGATAATTACTGAGTTTTAAAGGCTCTGAGGAGCAAATAAATATATTTTCTAAAAGGTTATACTATTCTTGTCAATAAAGACTCCAAGGTTATTTCTGTCTAGAAAGATGGAACTCTGACTCTCCCTTTCATTTTTCCTGGACTCCTTCTCATTACAAACTCAAACAATGAGTAAGACTGGCCATCCGTTAATTTGCATGAAAGTGCAAAAAGATTAAACACCTGTTTACTACATCTAACCTATTGCATCTGCTAACAAATCTAAACTCATAAGGAACTCAAATGAAATGCAGCTTCTCATTTAAATTTCTTAAAATGCCTTGCAGATGAATGCAATAACTCACTGATTAGTTTTTAAAATGTTACAGTAAATATTTTCATTTATAAGTCACCTAAGTACGTTTACAAAACTGCTCCACGGCGGCTTTCGGTACAAAATCAGTGAAAAATGTCTACATACTGTAAGTAGAGTTGGCCAAAGCACAGCTGGAATGAACAAAGTGTTGTTAACAACAACTAATGAAAACTGGATTCCATAATTGTTTTACTTGCTCATAACCACTGATCCATCTGTGACAGTTCTAAGTATCCACCTACAGCTCCACTGCTCACGTGTGTATACAGTATATCAATATCAAATCTTTTTAACACGTCTGTCCCCCCGGTCCTATGTATCCTGCCTTGCTCCACAGTTGGCTCATGGTTAGGCACAAAAGATGGGGACATGTATTTGTTTAACAAGTGTGTTTTTTAAACATTTAATTCAGAGCACAGTCATATTTTCACCTTCTCGTGTGTAAATGCCGTTATGAGAATTTGAACAGAGCGATGTTTCCAGAAGGGGCTTTCAAAATGAAAACAACCTTAACACTAAGAAAATAACAGACAAGAAGAAATCAGAAAAGACAGTGACTGAAAATCTGACTTCCAATTTTTATGTGTCTACGTGTGTGTGTGTGTGCGCGCACACACACGTTTGTATGGGTGTGGTATAAGAAGCTGCCTGTGAAGGCAGCATGGTGTCACTCCTGGAGAGTCCAACCTCCAGAACCCTCCTACACACTACACCACCACCACCCCTCACTGGTTAAAGAGGCCTACAAGCTGACTGGCTGTTGGAGCAGAGCTGTCATCTAGTGATGTTTTCATCTCCTACATTCAAAGCTTGTTAAACTACAGACTCCAGCATCCACTAATTACTTGTATGGTCTTTGATTTTTTTTTTTTTTTTGCAAACTTTCTTTTAATATCTGCTCTTTAGCAAAAAAAAAAAAGCAAGAAGCACAGAAATGTAAAATGTCAAAATGTATGTGTATTTCTCCCCATCCATCTCTATTTCTGTGTGTTTGCATCTGCAAGGCCATCCGTCCATCCTTTCTTCTGTGTACAGTATTTGTGTTTATTAGTCAGTCAGTCTTCTTGGCCCACGCCAGTACATCTGATCGTGGTTTTTGCCCTGTCAGACGTTCAATCAAATGCTCCATCCTTCTCCAAAAGCCCAGCTGGTCCAGTGGGTAGTTACACCAACCTGGAATACATTTAAAAAATGGGAAAGGAGACACAAAGGGGAAAGGAGAATGTGAGGAAGAAAGTCAGAAAGGTGACAAAAGGAGAGAATTAGAGGAAGAAGGAAACAAATAATTAAGATAAGAAATGAAAAGAACATACATGATTTGGAGAAGTTGTGGAATTAAGGATAATAATCACCTTTACTGGCCAAGTATGTTACACACAAGGAATTGGTTTCCAGTACAGAACTGATGGCAGCCATCTGCTGCGCCGACTCAACCGACGGCTCTAACCATCAGGAGCAACTTGGGGGTTCAGTGTCTTGCCCAAGGACACTTCAACTGCAGGCACAGAGATTTGAACCCCCGACCCTCCGGTTGGGAGACGACTGCTCTACGTACTGAACCACAGTCACCCCCTATTATAATTATTGCTTCTAGGTTTAGCTGAAGCCCAACACATATTAGAAGAAGAGGCTGCTAGATGTGCAAGAGCAGTCTCTCAGGCAAAGCAGGGCTGGTGGAAGAGGTGAGAAAGTGTGGAAAAGAAGAAACTTAGCTAGAGGGAGGAATGGGACATGGAAACAGGTAGGACTAGATTCATGTGAGCAGATCTTTTGCTTTCAGGTGTAGTATCACATCAGCAGATTGTATCAGGAAGTAAAGCAAGCCTATCTTAGGGGTGATAAACCTGGAGACACAATCAAGTGCATAAGTGTCTCCACTGAGGGTACGCACTTAAGAGATAAACTCACTGGATAGACAAAGCAAATGAGGTAGAATTTTGTTTGTGAGGGCAAACAAGTCAGGAAGCCAGAACTCTGAACAGACATGATGTAGGGCAGCTAAATGCAGGGAGAGACTGGCAAACGAGAGGAGAGTTAGGAAAACAGCTCATGGAGTCAGGCAGATTGATAAGAGCATGGCCTGACAGCCACTATGGGAACCAGTGATAGGTAAAAACATCATCTAACATGAATACTGAGCGTCCACAGGAATGCTCACCCAACCTCTGGTACATTTACCAGTGAACTGATAACCAAAGTAAAAAATAACTACACTAGTGGCTGCTTTGAGCCAAATGCTCTGATTTAGCATTTAGCATCTTCAGTTAGTGTGATACCATGCTAACATTTGCTAATAAGCACTAAACAAAAAGTACAGTCAAGGTCAGTCATTAGTTTTGCAGGTACAGTGCCTTGCGAAAGTATTCGGCCCCCTTGAATTTTGCGACCTTTTGCCACATTTCAGGCTTCAAACATAAAGATATAAAACTGTAATTTTTTGTGAAGAATCAACAACAAGTGGGACACAATCATGAAGTGGAACGAAATTTATTGGATATTTCAAACTTTTTTAACAAATAAAAAACTGAAAAATTGGGCGTGCAAAATTATTCAGCCCCCTTAAGTTAATACTTTGTAGCGCCACCTTTTGCTGCGATTACAGCTGTAAGTCACTTGGGGTATGTCTATATCCAATAAATTTCGTTCCACTTCATGATTGTGTCCCACTTGTTGTTGATTCTTCACAAAAAATTACAGTTTTATATTTTTATGTTTGAAGCCTGAAATGTGGCAAAAGGTCGCAAAATTCAAGGGGGCCGAATACTTTCGCAAGGCACTGTATGTGATCATAAAGCAGAGCAATGGACACATTTAAATTTTGACCTGATGATGATGCAAAAAGAAAGATCAGACGATAAACAAATTTAAGAACATAGATATTTATAGCACTAAACCAGTAAATAATATAATTATAATAAAATGTCATATACTGTAGCTCAACGTTGAATATTTTAATGAAATCTTATGGAATGACCTGAAAGATGACACTGATGTACAACCCTAAGCGTTTTAGACCGAGTAGTCCACAGCTGTGTAGCTCCCAAAGGATTTTGCTACTGTATTCACTGTATTTAGATGTTTGTTTAGTCGGTGGCCCCACCCACTACCCCAGCAGCACTCAAACACATTGTTTTTAACATCATTCCTAAAACTCCACCTCCGTCTTTACCTTCCAAACATCCTGAACTCGTTTTTCCCATGTCTCTTTTATTTTTTCATCACTTTGCTTCACTTAAGATTTTCTTCTTCTGTCCCAACCTTCCTCTTGCTTCTTCTTTTGCTGTCTTCTCCCAAACTGCCCCCAATCACTTCTTCTACCTCTAACCTCATCTCTCTCTCCATCTCATCTTCATGTGCATACTAGAATTCAAAGGGGTGGAGGGATGTGAGGATTCTCCCAGGAGACATCTTTAGCCCCTACTAACACAAAGAAATACACAGAAGCACAAGCTATACACTCCTCAGGTTCCTTCATTCTAGTCCAGTAGCTATGAATATGTGTGTTTGAATTAAATCCATGAATGTAGAGTATGTATGGATGCTGGCCAAATGTACATTTGCATGGGTATAGATGACTGTGCAGTACAGTAGGCTCACACACAGGCAAGCATCACTGCTTTAGGAGCAGCCAAACTCACATACACATGCACAGAAGCAAGAAACAAATAGAGACATCCACATGGGCTGTGTGTACTTAGGCTACACTTCTCTGATGCTTACACACCACCACCCATGTTATGTTTGCACAGGGTGCATGCTATAGCTCCTCACCCTCCAACTCTGTTCCTCCCTCCCTTCCTCCCCTGTCCTCTATCCCCCCTCTACCTATGAAGTCCTATTTGTTAGAACAGACAGCAGGTTAGCATTAAATATACATGGGGATGGATGGATTGTCAGCCGGTGGCGAACACAAAGGCAGCTAGGCGAGCCCCAGTGGAATCCAAGCCTGGCCCATGCAGCCAGGCTCGGGGAGCAGGGGGCTGTTGCCATCCCCAGTGGGCCGCGACCACCACCAGCCCACCTCCCATCACACACACGGAGGTTAGAAACCAAAGAGAAGGTCAAAAAGACTAGTACACACACAGATGCTCAAGTATGCAGATGTACGTGAGTGTGTGCGTGTGTTCAAATGCACCCTTTCACTGTGCTACCCCCCTCAACTCATCGTACACACATCTGTCGTCCACAGGGGCGCTTGGTGACGTACAAGCTGAATTCCCCTCGAGTATCCTCCCTGTTTTCTCTCCCTCCCTCTTACCCTTCATGTACACAGAATACTGAATGTGGATCTATCAAAGAGGCCTTGTGGCTCTAAAGACACGCACGCAAAGAGAACATTTTCTTTGTTATTTATAAGAAATAGACATCCGCTTCAATTATGGCGATCTAAAATGGCCGCCCAAAACATACACACTGATAAACATCAGAGTATTAAAAAGTCACCTGACACACATTTCACCCTAAACTAAGTTTGGTTAGGGATTGTTTTGTTTTTTTATCTGTTCACTAATTATACAAAGAGTCACACATTATCACAAAGACATTTTAGGTTAATTATGGGGGGACTTTAACCCTTTCTACTCACATACCTGGCAAATAGCTCCGATAACAAGCAAGTCACATTTTCAAAAATGCTCACATGAACTGATTTCTGTTATGTTCTTGTGTATTCTTGATTTTTTTTACCAGGGTTAATGAACTACTGTTAGTTCTCATCTAAACTGGTTCTCTGAATGCACAGATTAGATCCGTTCATCTTCGATGACATTACCATGAGTAACAGCATGCTCTTATTTTAAAGTCAAGGCAACATGAGTAGAGCTGCAGCAAACATCTGCTGTTTTGTGACTGGGTGGCTGCTGATTATACTGTTTTGTTGCACCCATGACTGGCTGTCATGGTATTAACTCTAGACAGCACATTGTTAATGTTCATTTAAAAGGATAAGGAAGGTGATATTCTAGATTTTTGTGACCATCAACAAATGTGGTGAGAAGACTCAAACCAACTAGTTTTACTAGTCAGACAGCTCTTTGGCCCAAAACTACTGTGTCTGTGGCACTCGAGCCTTTGCACTTGTACAGATGAATCATGATATACTTCTAATTGTTATAAAAGCTCAATCATTTCCTAAATTAGCTGAACATTTCAGTTGTTCCCCAAGGTTACACAAACTGGAGTACAAAGCATGTTAGCTGGGGACTATTTTCAGCTGAGGATTAATACATATTTGGTGCTGTACTGCAGTTTTTCCGGCAGCAGAACAATGTATGTGGAAGTGACTCAAAATAAAATTCAGTGTGCATGTTCACAGTAATGAATGAACATGTCACCCAGTGATGTGTTTTTTATAGTTTGTAATTTTATTCTGTAAATGAAAAGTCTGGGTCATAACACAGTACAGTCAGTGTGTGGTTTGACTTAGGTTTGTAATCATTACTTCAAGGGAACAGTAATGATGATCTTCATCCAATTAGTTTTTACTTCTTTTTGGTAAATTATATTTACATTTATTTGTATGTAACTACATTTAGAAAAAAACCTGGTAGCTAAAAACAAAATAAAACCACCTGATACCAATACTGAAGCTACCTTCTGTTACTGTACTTTGAGCAGCAGGTCTAACAAAACACTTATCTGAAAGAACTTCGAGATAAACTATTTGTGTTCCAGTTCTTACCTGTAGTAATGCAGTAGTATGTCTCATGTGGCGAGACGTGGTGGATGCGGTGGTGTTTCTGTGGCAACACCAGATGCCAGTCCTGGAGCAATGTGACCCAGTGCGGGAGGCCGAAGTAGGAGTGGCTCCACTTATGAATCTGATTGGTCAGTGTCACAAAAACCGCCAGGGCAAAGATATAGCAGTCCCAGGGATATGATGCCACCAGGGCCTCTGAGAGGTGACAGGACATCGAAAGAAAGAAAGTTAATAGAATAACTGATCAAACTGTTTTGTGTAATGAAAAGGGCCCACATGAAGACATAGTACTCCCACAGGGAGGATGTTGGCAGGGGCTTCAGGCAGATGAAGAGAGTGAGGGGGAGGAAGAGGAACTGGGAAAAAGAAGAAGAGAGGAAGAAAGATGGGGCTAGTAGAAGCAGGGGAGAGTGGAGGAGGGGCCAAAGACAGATAGAGGGTGAAAAAGCCTGTGATGTAACATAGAATCACAGTGTCTGTCATGAATCTGTCTTCCAAGAATCAATTTGCCAAAATCAGAAAGGCCAAAAAGGAGATCAGTCACCTGACATCAACTGAACATATGATTCCAGACTGCATTTTATCACCGTGCTTTCACTACAGCATCGCAGGCATCAAGAGGAAAATTTAAGTCAGTCAGTCTAGGGTGAGACACTTCATCACACCTTCGCCTGTGTGGCATCACATAAGAAAATCAATCTCTACAAATTCTGTCTGCTCTTTATTGAACAAGTAAAAGCCCTACTGATATTCAAATGTAACTATAAATCATCACCCCACACCTTTAAATATTTAAACAACTTCTGCAGTCCCAGTGTGATACTCACATCATTCCTACAACGGTGCCCTGGGACTGGACAAAGTATGTGCTGTGTTTTTATGTGAAACTCAGACGAAGGCGTGTAGTTCAGACTAAGGCTGGGGAAAACTGGCTCTTTGTGAATGTTGTGCTGCACAACAACATTTTAGCACAGATATCTTGCTTTGACGTGATGTATTTACCAATGAAACTATACAGACGCGACATTATGTAGACATATGTTATATAAGGCTGAAAGCCAAATGCAATTGAGTTCAGGGAGTGAAAGGAAATACTACTATAGAATAGGACAGACTGCTGAAAACTCTTCAGCTTGGTGTGATGTTAATTTGCACCTCTAGTGAGCCAACCATGCTGTTTCACAAGGAATAAAACTGATAATTCTGAGAATAAGATAATGAATGTTCTGTTCTTAATTTATGTGTAAAAAATCATCAATTCTCACATATTACTGTAGTTCTGGCTAATAAGGTGAACAAGTTATGGTTCATTTTCTGTATATGTGAAGTTAATGGTCACATAAGATGCTTCAAGGGCACCACCTTGCCAACAGTTTATAGGGATTCATGGTGGCAGCTGGAGCCACAGCTCAAGCAGCTGTCTGCTGACTGATGCCTGCTCCAGCAGACAGAGCAGTATTCTTAGAGTGGGTTTCCCTTAAGCAAAGGATCTGAATAACTTCTCCACCATTGTTAATGGATTGCATAGCTGAACTTGTTACTGTCAAAAGTAATATATGACATTTTGCTTGTTTCAGAGAAACCTACAAAAACTACCCCAGGCAGTAACTGATGGAACTGCTCTTTATGTGCCGTTTTCTTTATGGCATAACTGGCAATGGTGTGCTCGCTCCAGGTCGCATGTCTGGTCTACAGTGAAGTCAGCGTGCATCCGGCTGAACCACAAGGGTTAAACTGACAGGGTGATAAATACTGATGACTAGGAGTGTAATGATACAGCCACCTCATGATTTGGTTCGACACAGGATACAGGGCTTATGGTTCGATACATTCACAATAACAATGATTATGACAATTAGAATTTCTTCTTAGGCAGGCAAATTCAAAAAAGCTGTTTTCAAACATTTAGGGGACATTTGCTATCGCAGCAGTGTCTGTCTTCACCCTAAACCCAAACAGAAGTATGCCACCTATTTGTACCAGCACTAACTCTTATTATTCACTAGAGTCTTTCAGTCGATATGACTTACAACTGTCCTCTCTCTGCCCACCTCCATCCCACGTTCCTTCTGTTTGGTTAAAGCAGTGATCTCTTGACCCCAGTTCAAGTGCAGACATGACTGCTGGAGATGCCGCCTCATGGCTCTTGGCTTTGTCCATCTACTTGTATCTATATATTTGTCTGACATCGCGAGGAGCCTGACATGACAGGTTTAGATGTCATCTTGCCACTACACAACCCTCTGCCCCGCCACCATGACCACGACCCCCATCCTCTCTCGTTGCCTCTCTTTTCTGTGCACTCTTACCCTCTGTCTCATAGTCTTAGAGGTGACCTCGTGTGTGTGTGGAGCTGACAGGTGTAGATGTCACTGCATCTATTTGTGCCTCTGTCTTGTGACCTCCTGACTCCCTGTGGTGTGACATGACAGGCATGGATGTCACCTACAAGTGGACCTCACTACTGCTTGCTTCTCTCTAATCTACGCCCCCACACCCCCCTCATTCACTGATCCCTCCTGTAGACAAGCAGATGACCTTTGCAAGTTTTCCCTCTGTGACTCTTTCCTACATTTCTTTGTTTCTATTGATCTGTCACATATTCTCCCATTTGTAATAGAACTGTCTGTATTGCTTGTACAGTCTTCCTTCACTTCTTACATCACGTGTCACTGACTGTGCTTACAGAGACAATTTCTGATTTTCGATACACTTAACTTTTGTAACAGTGGGTTGCTAACACATCCATCCATTATCTATTCCGCTTATTCCTGAACAGGGTTGCGGGGGGCTAGAGCCTATCCCAGCTGACACAGGGCGAGAGACAGGGCATACACAAAATAAAATGGTTAGTAATTGTGTACCCTAAGGACTACGTGGTCTTTTTTTGAAAGGTAACACTTTGTAGTTTACTATCAAACATTCAGAATTAGCATGTCATTAAATCAACCATACAGAGGCACAAATCTTTAAATTTATCCTCGCCTAAGTTTTTTAATTATTTTTTAATGGAAATACACCAATCAGCCATAACATTATGACCACCTGCCTAATACTGTTTACATAGGAGTCAATGCAGCAGTTGGTCGGCACTCGTTCACTCTGCAGCTCACTGTGTATCTTCTGTTAATCCATTTGCTTCCATGGTTCTACTGTCAGGAAGAGCAGAGATGTGTCTACAATTCAGTGAAAAACTGAGGTAAAAGGAGTGAAAACTGTGGTCATGAGGACAAGTTAGAGAAAATGTTTTAGACAAATTCAGCAGCCTCACCACTCTAGGTGTGATATCACCACTACAGCCACTGACTCTTTCTCTTCATAGAGACCAGTGTACAGGTGGTCATGTTCAACCATTTTAACAAAGATTCAAATAAATTTTAATCTTTTGAAAAGTACAAATGGAAGTTAAAAGTTTAACCTACAGTAGGTCAACCTCATCATCAGTGAGCTGTGGGCGTCCATGACCCTGTCTCCAGTTCGTCTTTATCTACTTCAGTGCCGTCTGCCAACACAGTGGAAGGAGGCCAAGAAATCACCAAAACCAGATAAACTACTCTTAAAACAATGTTTGTTTTGTAAAAAATAAGAACATTTTGTGTAATAAAGCATTGAAACAGGCCTTATGCGCAATTTCTAATGCAGTTAGATTTGAAGGATCTCAACATACGACATATTGTACAACTCGTAATTTTACTGGTTAAAGAGCTATCAGTCATCTAGAACAAAGCATGTGATTGGTTGACTGCAATGACATGAACACAGCACCGGATCATATTCTTGTGCTGAGATAGGCTCACAAATACACTCTCTGGCAAGGACCTAACCAGAACTGACAAAGCAAAAAGTCTATTGCTTGGAGTGATCTCAAGTCACAATACCCTTTGGCATAACAGCTTGTAAAATTTGACACAGAGCTCTTTAAAGTTTAAAGAGCTACCAATAAACACGTAATGCAGAAGATCGCAGAACAAATCACAGTGGTTTTAGGAATATTTCTCAAGGACTATACATCGCAAGACTAAATGTTTGGACTTTTTTCATTCAGCAGAGTGTTACCAAGCTGGGAGGCTAAACATGCTGGAAGTACAGCCTGATGTGTTCACGGATGACAAAAAAGTAAAGGTGGTGTGTTTGCTCTGTATGGACCCTTATTACAAAACAAGGAACAGATTTTTCTCTTAAAGTAATATCTGAAAATAGTTCACAATGCTTTCCAACAGCTATTTTATTGCTGTATGTCTCATATTACATCATGAGGCAATATGTTAACGGAGAGTAAAATCGACCCATATACGGGCTCGGCCAGCAGGGTCCAGTGGAAGTGATTAAATCTGCAATAACTGATCACTACACACCCATCCACAAACTCCGGAGGTACAGTAACTATCTGACTCTTCAGCTGCTAAATGATCCCCTGTGCTCGCCTGCATCCCCATATGTTAGCTAGCTAGGCACTAACTTTATCTGTCCACCAAATGGCGCTGGTCAGAATGCGCCAAGTGAAATGAATTTTGAGAGGTTATTTTAATGAAAGAGTTCAAAAACAAGAACAATGAGTGATATGAACAAATCAAAATAGTAGAGTGGCAGTAAAATTAAAACGATGAGCTGATGCTTAAGATGCTATAAGGACTCACAGAACTAAGTGAGTGTAAAATCTGGCAATGAATTTGTGTGACTTTGTTACTACATTCTACATCTTTCACATACATATACATGTGCAGGCAGTCATGTCATCAGTTGTTAATATAAAAATATTGATTACAGCTTCAAAAGTAAAATATCTGCACTCTGGTTTGAATGATATTGGATTTTTGAAGCTGAAACATATAAAGATATTTGAGAAAAAACTGTGATAATAATATAAGGCAATATTCAGCATTCAACTATATATGTACAGAGCGGGACATTCTGCAGTCGCACTCCTTGTCCATCCTCTGGTGAACAAACCTAATGTGATGTAGATACTGTCCTGAAATTACCTCATAACATACAGTATATGTTAGGAATTTCTGTGATACATTGTCTTATTACTTAACAAATGGCATAAGCTAATATCTGCCAATATATCAGCATGGTCAATGTGTAACTCTTGCTCTAATCTGTACCCATAGCATACCTTTATTTTTCCTTTCCGTTAATATGAAACAAAGTTTATGAATAACTGGGACTTCTCTGCAGGATACAATCACTGTTGGCAAGTTTCAGTGCACACCAAATCTCATTTGATGAAGCATCTGATTTTTTTCAGGTGAGAAAACCTGCAGAAGTACAATATTCATGCCTTCTTCATAGTGTTGTATGTCATATAAATACTGTACGTGTGTATGGGCTGGACGGTGCTTAACGTTACCATCTTGAGCTTTCATACAGTGTTGGTTGGAAATCATCATTTCTAGAATGAAGGTAAGATAGTTGTGACTGCTATTCAAAAGCTTGTGAGAATAAATGCAGAGCACCGTAGCTAACCTAGCATTTAACCTAGCTAACTGATGTCAACTCCCCTCCTCTCCACCTATCAGTGACCTTTTGGTTCAAGCTGAAGTGTAGACATGACAGGTGGAGATGTCACCTCCT